TCAAAATAATTATTCAATTCGGACCAGCAGTTTCAAAGAATAGCGCGATTAAACATACAAACAAGCTCTTCAACCTAATTTATTATTAACTAGCGACCCGCCCCAGCTTCGCACGGGTGCAATATGCATGTATTATACATACAAACCTTCCTTAAGAATCACTCTATCTATTAAAAAAACCGCATCAAAATCCGTTGCGTAGTTTTAAAGATCTAAGCATACATACGGACATACAGCGAAAGCGACTTTGTTTTATACTATGTATTGATATAGTAAGTATAGACATAGGTCTAATTTCTCATGAATACGTCTGTCTGTCTCACCGGTTGCATCTTCGACCTCTCTAATAACTTGTTATCAATGACGTGACTTCGCAATCCAGCTGCTTCTGCTTCTCTTTTATTATGAATATCAACATCCAAACACGCTGGTAAAATTTTACTGTCGAACATTATCCTGCAAACATACACGTTTAAATAGGTAATCAAACATATTTTCTATGTTAATATAAGCTAGTAAACGAGCAGACGGGTCACCGTCAAGCAAAGCACCGGTAAGCATACAGCGTTGCCCTTAGACACCCGAAACACCAGAGGCATTACAAGTGCGTTGCCAGTCAATTCAAGGAAGCCACGATGAAAGACAACGCAAGCGTTGTTTTGCGTCTGTTTTCTGTGGTATCCCTCTGGTCGAGCGGTCCAATTTCTGTCAAAGCATGGCTTTTGGCTAGGCTAGGCTCCCCTAACACATATACTAAGGCTTTCACGATTACAGTGGAAATTACTTAAAGAACTGTATTCTCCTAAAAACGACGGGTTACTCGCATGAATATACCGAGAAAAGCTGAGGTAGGCTGCGTGACATCGCCGCAACCGCGCACCCTGCTCATAACGAAGAGTCCCTCTGTGACTCGAAACTAGTAGAGCGCTCCTCAGCATATTAACGAGAGTAACCCATCATTTTTAGTTAATTTGGTCTAACGTGCTGATTTACTTCTAATAGGAGCAATAGGACCTAAAATGAGCTGTATAATTATTTGGTACTTACTCAGTTTCTGTCTCCAAAAGAGCTATATCATTGTACCACGAAGGTTCGTTGTAATTGGGATGGACAATGATCTTCTTGATCTTGTATGTGTTCCAATATTCCGGTCGGTCCTTGTTGTGAAGACCGAGCGATGCAAACGCCATTGTACCGCTGTAAACAGAATTGTTATTGTATGTAATAAGGTTCGATTTATCATTAATTTTCGAAACTAAAGTAGGTAATAAAATGGGTGTGTGTGTTAGTGGAAGCTAAAATTGATACCGGTTAACGACAAGTTGAAAAGTAATCGTCTTGCTTGGGACAAAATTTGATGAGAAGGGATGAAAGTCAAAGGACGAGACAAGGATTTAAGGGAGAAAGGAAGAAAAGGGAATTTGTATGAGAAATCATATTACGAAGGAGAAGGAGTGACACTCTGTACTTACTAAGGAAAATGAGACATGATCAACGAAGCATTACATAATAATGTAGCTATATAAAGACATAGAGCTTGCCAAAAAATAGTTTGGAATAATTAAGGTCGCTAGTATCGTACCTGTAGCAAATCTAGCTGACTCAATCGGTTTTGATAATTGTTATTTGTATCAAGTATAAAAAGAGAACCTACTATGTTCGGATTTTTGTTTATTTATGGGATATGATCCGATGAGGGTAATTCAGTCTTAGTCAATATTAGTTCCAGCTGTCTCCGCGTCAAACTATTATTAACCAAATCGTACAGGCATGAAGGATATTGTTATGCAAAAAAAAGAACCCACTTACAATACACCAGCGTTGGTACAGTGTGCAGATGTCAATATGAACCTTTCACTGATCACTGTCCCTTCGCATAGCCACTGAGCTGAAGATAAATCGTCACCGTATCCAAGCCGAGCCTAGACCAGACACATTCATAAGTTAAATAATGTTCTCATTTAAATAGAGCTGAGTAGATGTCAGTTGAAATCTGAAAGGAGCTTTTGAAAATCTTCAAAGGAGATAAAATAAGAATTAGTTATTTCGTAGAGACAATATTGTTAAAACTAAGATAGACAGAGTTTGATATGCTAGATTCGAAGAATCTTGTATCTTCATTTCTTACCTGATGAGGAAAATTCCAGTGCAGAGGATTTGGTTCATCAAAAGTAACATTGAATTATGACATTGATTGGCCTCCACCCATTGCTTTACTATGCTTACAAGGCCTTTGCCTCGACATGGATAAGGCAGTTTATGGAAATATTCCAGGCATTCTGAAATATTATCTTAACGTTTGTATTATTACCAACATTAAACTTAGCCATGTAACAATGTACGTATGTAACTGTCTAATGCCTGTAGAGAGATCATCGTTATGATGATGACATGACCTGTTTGCTCAACCCTAAGTCTAAAAGCTGTAAATTATTTTACACTTGAAAGCTACAGCCGTAATTCGTAAAACGTTACTGCTTGTCGCACGTATCGCGCTGTTCGTTACGCGTATCACGTAATGCGAAGTTCGTAGGACGTAGCGCGTAGCAGCGTCTTTCCACTATTATGGTCGTAGACAAACCGTGGACTTTACAAGCATACAGCAATGAAAATGCGTAGCTGGGCATTATAACGGAGAAAAGGTAGTGCTCTTAACTTGAACAATCGCTAAGATCATTAAAAATGATATTATTATGTGAGGGCCATAACTGGAACACAATCCCTATTACTTACTTTTCCAAGCTATTGAACCCGTTCTGCTGACTAGGAGCCCAGAAGGAGCAACAGCCGAGTCTTTGAATCTGAAACAATTAAATTAGTCAAATAAAATATTCACGACCTTGTGTCGTGCGTGACAATTTGTACTCTATATGTTGACCCGACCTGTTAGTAATAATCATACAAAATTTGAAGTAAATCCACGCAGTACTTTTTGAGGTCATCCCGCACATACATACACACAAACAAAAAAAATGATGAAAACCATATTTTTGGCTTCGGTATCGATTGCAGATGACGCCCCAAGTATTCTTTAAAAATAATACTTGTAGGATCAGGGTCCGACATTATTTGAAAATAAAACAAAGAGCTTCACACAATCACTTAGTTTATTTCGATTAAATGAACTTACTTTCACATTAATTTTTAATTATAATAATTGAATAATTCAGCACTGAT